ATCCCTGGGAGTGCCCAAGGAACAACCCGGGATAGTGGGAGGTGTCCCTGCCCATGGCAGGGGTGGGATGGGCTAAAATCCAACCCCAGAAATCCCAAATGTGGCATCCCAGCCCTCAACACCCCAGCCAAGCACCCAAGAGACACGATACAGTTGCCAAGTAGCAGCAGCAGCAGCACATTTTTGCCAGCATGGAGAAATCCATCACATTTCCAATGATAATTACTACAAATGAAGCAACGTGCTTGTAATTCCACCCACAACAGCGAGTCCACAGCCTCCCATAAAATTCTACAGTTTTATAGGCTCTGAGAGGAAAGAAGAATAAAAATCTTCCTTCCTTATTATGCAATCATCTGAAATCTTGCATTTGTCCACAAATTGATTTTCAAGATGCTGGTCCAATTTTAGACAGAAAGAAAACTATAATGAATGTAAGCTTAAGCCAATTATGCTAAGTGTTACTTAAGTTCCAAAACTATCACCTAAACTGCAATTTAAAACCAAATTAGAAAGAAATAATTCACATTCCTCCCCTCCAACAACATTTACATGATAATGAATTTCTTCTTGGGTAATAAGCAGTTAGTTAGTGTTCATATGCTGGAGCCTGGCAAGGAAACCTTTCTTGTGGGCAGCTTTGGAGCCTGTTCTTTTCTTTAAGATGTTCTAATTTAAATGCAGATGTAGACTTCACACTAGTGGGTTTTGTTTAAAAAAAAAAAAAAAAGTGCTGCTGTATTAGAAGGAAGTGACAGAAAGGGGACTCAAACACACCATTTTGAGTTCCACATTTTGCACTATCTCGTTTTCCCTGGGCAGCAATGTGTGCAAGAGGTCTCAAATATGAGATTAGAGCACCAGCCCCCCTCTTCCCAGAGGGTTTTCTGCTTCAGGGTTTAACACAAGTGTTTTCCAACTTTTTCCTCTTCAAATTCCAACCTTTTTCTTTTTTTTTTTTTTTCTTTCTCCAAGTCATTCTTCATGCACTTCCTTCCCCTTCAGAGATATGCATGGTCATTTCCAGGAGACATTAAACACTGGTAGCTTTTTCCTGTGTAAATTAGTGAGTCTTAACATTGGAACTGGAGAAGAATATGAAATCCTGCTGAGCCAGCATCCCCTAAGCTGTTGTCAGAAGAACAATTCAACACGGATCAGCTTCCCAAGACTTTTTTTCACCTCCATGCTCTATGGAAAAAGTTTATTGTATTCCCTGCTTAACCCCATTTTCTCTACAGATATATTTATTTTTAACTGGCTTTGTTAACAATTTGTTTCCCACAGCTGAACTAGAAAAATAACTTGTGCTGTTCCTTAAACATCCAGTCCACATCCTGAAAAATTATTTCTCCTCACTCCCCCTGCAGCTCCCATAGCTGTCCTCTTAATGTGGAAACATTTGCAGTGCTCTGATTTTATTTAGTAAATAACCTCTCTGAATTTTCCCTCCTTATAGACTGCTTTAACATAATTAGTAAATTTGATTCTTTGGTGAAAAATGGACTCTTCAGCCTAATTAATCCTTTCCCAAGGAACAGAAAATTCCTCTACCTGTCTCCTGACCAACAAGCTATTTTTCACTCCTGCCATGTCAAGTATAATCTATTTACACAACTGCAAAACTACTGCTGCAAGAAGTAATTTATTTGGTGTGAAAAGCTGACAAATTGCAGCTCTTCTGTGCAAGCAAGAGGGCTGAGAAAGTAAAAGCTTCCTGCAATGGAAACAGGAAAAAAAATAGTCCAGCAAAACCACCAAGCCTCTAAATGAAACTGAAATCGAGACCTGAGGCAGGTTCAGCATGCTCAGAGTAGGAATGGCACCATCAAGCAAAGCAACATTGCAGGGAAAAATATGTTTATTTCATCTTTTTGTTGTTGTTAAAAAGGAAACTCAAGAGGTTCACAATAGAGAAGTCACATATTTACCCCTGGATCTATAAAGAAAAGGAAGCAGCACCTCTGGAAATGTGCTCAGCCTCAAGAATTCCTAATTACTGCACACAGCCAAAAAATCATTGGATCAATTGCCTTTATTACAGGCATACAACAAAATATCCAAAATTATTAACTCTAGAAACACTACTTGTTTCCAAGCCAGCAGATGTTACTTTTAGCTATCAAAACTCGGAGGAGCAACACAGTATCTCTAATAAAAACCCCAAAGTTACCAAGTTGCATCTGATCTGCTCCCTGAAATTCAGGTTTAAACAGTACCCAGAAGTTGCTGCTCATACCTATCAGTCAGGAAATGCACACAGAGCTTTAAAAGCACCCTCAGCAGCATAAATTTTTAAACAGACATGGAAGTGAGCTAAAGCAGAATCTAAATAGCATCTTGAAAGCTCTCTGAACAAAACAAGTGAGCTCTCCTGACAAAAATCACAGCGTGAGTTTAAGGCAGGAGAGGTACAACCATGGTTAATTTATGTATTTATAGTCTGAACCACTGTACACCAAAACCACAGAGCTACAGAGACCTCCCAAATGTCTGAGGGGAAGTACACAAGGAGCAAGTTGGAAATGACAGGAATAGAAGGGTGATGCTCAAGTGATCAGGGCAGTTCTGAACCTCCTTCAGTCATTTTTCATCGCTGGGCTGGAGGAGCAAACTCCAGCTTTCACACTGCTTCTGCAAATGCCAAAATTGGGCCTTTTGCTCTACACCAGGAGCCATTTGGGGGAGAAAATAGGAAGCAAACAACAAGAAGGAAAATGAAAGCGAAGTCTGGAAGAGAGGAGGAAAAAGGCTTCAAAAACAACAGGGACAAAAAAAGTCAGAAAAGTCCAAACAACACATCTATTAAACTTTTAAAGTCCTGTTCTCAAAACACTGCAGACTAATGGCCACAAACATGAAAGATATCAAGAGCAAACTGGATTTTATATATATATATATACACATACAGATATGTATATATTTGCATATATTTATATACATATGTATTTATATATATATATACATATATATTTACACACTGCCATGAGTACATTCCCAGTGAATAGCAGACCCAGGTTCTGTTTGTTTGCTTTACAGACTGCTGACCACCTTCCAAAAAACTTCTCCCACACTTGGAGTGTTTGGGTTTATTAATGTCTTAATAAATTATTATAAATTATTATGAATTTTGAATTTATTAATTTACTAATTATTATCCAAAATATTAGTATTTTTCTTCAGGTCCTAGCAAGGTGAGAAAATGTCAGTTTCTTCACCTTAAATTAGTACACATATTTTATATCTATAGGTGCATTTATAGCAGAAATTCATTTAATTTAATTAACAAATAGCACTGAAGTACTGGGTTCCAAGAACCATTGAATCTGGCACTGGCAGTGCAGCATTTAACAGAATCCCCAAAACCAAAATCCTCATTCTTTGTGTAGGTATCTCTCGAACTGGTACACACATCACAGGCACTGGCTGTTCTACTCCTGTCCTTTTCTGTGACAAATTAAAGAACTGAGAATGTTCCAGCACCAGCAGAAGGAAAAGGCTCTCTGGTGTTACCCCTTTAGTCAAACAGTCACTGCTGCTTCCTGGGCTGTGCAGAGGCAGAGGAAGATGCCATGAGAGTGGCCAGGATGTGATGCTGTTTTAATGCTTGTGTTTAACACAAGTCTCCCCACAGTTCCTTCCCTGCTAAAGCTGTTTATTCATAAATGGGACAATTAGCAATTCCCCCAGGACTGCCATGCCTGCTGTGAGAACAGCAGCCTCTGCTGCAGTCCTGACATTCACATCTATCAATCTGGATTTCCCCTGCTCCCTCCAGTCAATTAGTTGGATTACAAACCAACTAGGATGATTAACGCCCTGGAATTACTTCTCTTTGCTCCTCTCTGAAAAACCAAGGCACTGGAGGTGAGATTTTGGATTCATGACTGACACAGCCACCATTTACTCATCAGATGTTCCAGATTTATGACAGATAACAATACACACACAGTTAACAGCACTCCAGAAAGAAGCTTCCATTTCTTAATCCATTCTTCTACACAAGCAGTAGCAATCCAAGCAGCACCAGCAATGCCTTCTGAGCCACTGTCACAGCCTTTGGTTGGAGCTCAATATCATGGAATATGCTACACAGAGTTCAATATTAAACCAGAAACATGTGCCAACGCTTTTCCCCCCTCCAGTAATTCCAAGCTGTTGCCAGGCCGTTAACCACATTCTCCCCAGGGCAATTATGTTCAGCCACTGGATGGTTTTCACATTTTTTCCACCTTTTTTTTTTTAAATTCAACATCTACTCCAAAAACCTGAAATGAGTTTGGTGTTACAAATGTATGCCTTGTATATCTCTGCCTGTTAGACCTTGCACAAATGTGTCAGATTCATCCTTCCCAGAGCTTTACTCCTAATTCATCTTGTCTTTCCTTTTCTTAAAGCTGGATGAGGAAACACCTTCTCAGGTACACTAAGTTCATACTATTTTGCTCAAGAGAGCCTTATATTCAGCAAGTGCAGTTTCTACCTCCACCTATCCCTTTTTTAAATGCTGTTCACCATGAAGATGCCCCTTGACCTCAGCTATGCCTTTGTACAAAATGAAAGACGAGCTGACAAATCTACCTTAAACACAGATAAATTCAACATCTACTCCAAAAACCTGAAATGAGTTTGGTGTTACAAATGTATGCCTTGTATATCTCTGCCTGTTAGACCTTGCACAAATGTGTCAGATTCATCCTTCCCAGAGCTTTACTCCTAATTCATCTTGTCTTTCCTTTTCTTAAAGCTGGATGAGGAAACACCTTCTCAGGTACACTAAGTTCATACTATTTTGCTCAAGAGAGCCTTATATTCAGCAAGTGCAGTTTCTACCTCCACCTATCCCTTTTTTAAATGCTGTTCACCATGAAGATGCCTCTTGAACTCAGCTATGACTTTGCACAAAATGAAAGACGAGCTGACAAATCTACCTTAAACACAAATCTTCCAAACGCATTTAACTCCTCCAACAAACACCTAAAACCATTTCTCTCCTTTACCTAGGCTGGGAGTTCTCCTCGTACATCCTTTCCTTCCCTTCCTTGAAGAGGCTGATGGTCTGCTTGGTTTTTTTCATCAGGTTCTCCATGAAGACCCGGAAATACTCGTTCTCGCCCAGGGTCTCCATCTTGCCCTCGTAGCGGGACAGGATGGTGCGCAGGTGCTGGTAGGTGTCAGGCAGCAGGTCCAGGATGTAGGGAGGGCTGTTCTTCAGGGCCAGCTTGGGGTTTTGACACAGCCGTACCACCTGTGGGGATGGAGAAAGCAGCTCTGTGAAAATTCCAGGGGAGGAGCACGGTCAGGGGTTAAACACAAGTCACGGTCTTGCTGCAACAAATCTCATTTGTGGGGCAAGTGCAGATGGAATTACAGAATCCCAGAATCACTGAGGCTGGAAAAGACCTCTGAGATTGAGTCCAGCCTGGTCCCCACCTCACCAATCAGACCAGTGCCACACCCAGGCATTCCTTGGATACCTCCACCACCTCCCTGGGCAGCTCCTTCCAAAGCCTGACCATCCTTTCCATGGAGAAATTCCTCCAGATGTCCCACCTGAACCTTCCCTGGTACAGCCTGAGGTCATTTCCTCTTGTCCTGTCACTGCTTGCCTGGGAGCAGAGCCCAACCCCCAACTCACTATAACTTTCAGGGAGTTTTAGAGTGATCAGGTCTCCCCTGAGCCTCCTTTTCTCCAGATACTAAACCTAGCCACCATAAAAGAATGCAATGTCTGGGCTGAAGTGCATGTGGACTGATGAAACTCATGATAATAAATTTATGTGACAGGGGAGGGGAAAGGAAGCCACTCCACCATCCGCCATAGGCAAATGTTTCCATTATCTAAACTGAGAGAATTAAAGGGAGAGTTGATGGCAAAGCAGCCATTTGAAAAATTAAGTAGTGAACTATCAGTTCTAGAAAGGGCTGGAATTAGAGTTGTGGGGTCAGTTTTGAATCAAGTTTACAAGGTAAGAAGCAGCAGTCTAACACCTCTATATTCTGTGATTTCCAGCAAACCTGAGCACAAAATGTGGCTACACTTTGCTAAAGTTCTTCCCTATAATGAATATTATCTGGCTGCTTAACACCCAGCATATAAATGAGGTCTAAACTCATGACACTGCCAGGTATGAGGGAATTACAGATATCAAACAGTGCAGAATGCAAAAACTTAAGTAAATTGGATAAGAAAAAGCAAAAAAGCAAAAGAACAGTTTAACATCCTTTTGCAGCACCTCATTTCCACAAAACCTTGTGAAACCTTCAAGAGGAATTGAGCAGTTCCCTACAGTGCAGGCTTAAATACCTACTTCCTTTAAATATAGATGGTAAACAGAGTCATTCCTTCTGAAACAGTGCTTCAGCATTTCACTTTGCCATTTAGGGTATGTGCAAAAAGCAACCTCGTGAAGTGACACCTCCAATTTTATCTGACTTACAGCAGTGCCTGCACCAAGAGCTGACCTGAGAAAGGTTCAGTTTCAGCCAAGAGAAAGGCACACAGTGTATCAAAACTCCAACCAGAAAAATCAGGCTGCTGGTAAAAAAAAATAAACATCTAAAAAAGCCTCTGCAAGAATACATGGGAAAAACAAAGTACCAAAACTTTGCCTCCATTTTGAGGAGGCTGCCAAGGCCTTAAGATAAAGAGATGGATGGCCAGACAGCTGATTTAGTCAATTGATGCTGATGCCTCAACTGCTGCTTCCTTGGAGCCTGTGAACATTGCACACTGAACCATATCAACAAATTGAGTCAACACATTTGTCCCCTGGAAAAAAAAAATAGTTTCACTATGAGCATGAATAGGTTCTAAATATGCTCCTCGGACCCAGCTGAGCTGTGCTCTGGGCAGCAGAACCTTTTCTTCAGCAGAAATTGTTTATTATACAGTGGGTTTAAAACCCTAACAAACACAGTCAGCTCAGAGGAGGAAGCCACATGAAGCAAGCAGAGCCTGCACTTCCCTCAGCCAGCTGAAAATAGAGAACAATTTGGCTGTTACACTTTGAAAATACCCAGCTATGGGAGCAGCAGACCTGCTGCATTTCAGACTTTAATATCAATTAAAGCAATTCCCCCCAGCAGCAGAGAGTTCTGCAAACTGCTCATTCTCAGAGTCCCTGTAAAATGCTTCCCAAGAAGTAGATAACCTCAAACAGTTAACAGAAAGGTCAAAACTGCTGGTATTTTATTATCAAATCAGCTTCTTTATTTACCAAGCAGACCAAAATTAGCTAAGATGAGCAGTTAAACAAAACTGCATAATTAAGAACTGCTGCCTCCTGAGCACACTTGGGGCTTTTATAACACAGCAGCAACAAAAGCAGTGGCATTTTCCTTGTTTCTCTACGTGTGCACTTGCAGCATCATGACAACATCCAAAGGAATGTTCCCAGCCCTGGGAACAGCTGCCCCTCAGCAGCCTTCCACAGGGACCAGCAACGTGGAAGGAAATTGAGCAAAAAAGCAGAAAAATATTTTTTTGTTTAGGTGTGATGGCAACGAACAGAAGCAATCCACGGTTTTAAATTATCATCCAAAAGTTTGTCTGGCTTATGTTGTGTTCTCTGAGGAACAAACCATTTAGGGAGACATTTTTGGGTTTTCAGACACACCAATAAAGCTCAGCATGAAGAGAGGTGGGCCTGTAAAGAATCCGAAAACTGACTTCACCCATTTCCATTTTCCAAATGCAAGTCAAAAACCAGTTTCCCCAGCTGAGTTTTGAGGAAAGAATCTGTTATGTACTCATTCTAGGAAAAATAATCTCATCTAGATCTTTGAGGCCTGGAATTGAATCTTTCCCCTCAATAATCTGCAGCTTGCCTTGACTAATTCTGCATTTAAGAGTCCCAAGCCTGAGGAGCATCCAGGGGCTACTCCCAGGTAAGATATTCCCTCCCAGGGCAGCTCTGAAAACTCATTTTTTCCTTCCTTTAGCAGCTGAACAGCTAACTGCACTGAGATCACACCTCATTCCAGTGCAAGCCAACAGCAAAACAAAACCTACTCAAACATCTCTTATCTCTTGCTAGATTTGTGTTTGGCCTTTCTTCTCACAATGAAGGTGACCTGCAGTGGCACTTCTCTATATCAGTTCTAGGAACTGAATGGTATCAGGAAACCCTTTGGAGAAGCTTTATCTCAAAGCTCCTCTTCCTCCTCCGTGCCTTCCCACATTTATTCCACTCAGCTCCATCCCAAGCAGCTCATGACTAAGCCACCTATTCCTCAAATACCACCCACAGCAGTGAACTCCAGGGGGCTGCATTTAATCTCTGTTCTGCAGAGAAATGCATAAATATCACCTCATTCAGCTGAAGGGGAACATCCAGCAGGGATGGAAAGGGCTATTTTATGTCCATGCTCTGTGTGACCATGTGTAGCTGTGGGAGGAATGGTACTGACAAAAAAATTAGGGCTTTAAATGAAAGAATCTGAAAGACATAAATATGTCAGGCAGCTTATGGAGAGCATTACAGGGGAAATATTTGGACAAGAATCAACTTGCATAGGAAATTCATCAGTCACATCCGAAAGCAGAATGCTTTGACAACACCAGCTAATTATGCAGACTAACAAATGAGGTCGTGAGTGTAGTGTACCCACACAGACACAGCACGCAGCTCTGAGAGGCAAAAACATCATCTATTAAACATGCACACAAGCAGGTTTTTTATCTGCACCTGGAATTTCATGTTCCTGGCCCAGAAATCTAACCCATTCTCAACACCTTCCATTCATTTAGCACTTCTCACCACGAGCTTCTCTGGGTTTTTGCTACACCACTAAAGAGATTTGAATTCAGATGTTCTTTGAGTGTGCATAAGTACAGCTGAAATCTAACTGAAATCTGAAAGGCTTTTCAGAGCCAGATCTCTCTTCTAGTACAAGTCAGACTGAACAAGACTTCAAGCCTGAGAGCTTCTGCATGCTGCCTGTGAGTAAACCTGGAGTTAAAAGAGGTTGATGTAACTTGTGACAAATACAGCAGCAGCCTTGGCTTTTCTGTCAGTGGGGAGAGAACACATCCAACCTGCTACCCAGACCAAAACTGTGAAATTTCCCCCCAGAAAACATCCTGCTGCATTTTAAAATGCCACAATAATCAGCTTTTTTTTCAGGCTAGTCATTTCCTTCGAGCAGAGCAGGTTATGAGGTCAAACACAGGCTGCCATCTATATCTACACATTCTATAGATGAAAATGTGCATTCTTACAGGTTACACTTATTTAGGGTCCTGTTTCCATGCCCAAGCTGCCTTTTCTACATTAGCACTTGTGCCTGGCCCTCAGAGTCTGTAAGAGAGCCAATGGCACCTCTCAAAAGGGTTTTTTCCTCTGCCCCAGTCTCTGTAGGTGATCAAAGCTCATCACAGGCACAGCAAGGCACAGCTACAAACCCTGCCTTTTGTTGAGCCAGCCAACACAGAGTGATTTCTTGGCAGGAACAGAATTTAATACGCCTTTAAAGAAGTCATTTGCTCTGCCTGCTTTTAGCACTTACTGCAGGAGGTTCAGACTCTGCATGGATAAACAATGCAGGGGAAGAGAAGGAAAATGGATAAGCCTGAGGGGCAATTGGATGTGGGATGCCCAAAATCCCTGCCTGCTCTGCTCCCAGAGGGGAAGGAGGTGGCCAGGTGACAGTCCCCAAGGCCTGGGGGAAATGTGGGTGATGCTCTTACTCTACACAACTTGTAGGGCCCTGAACTCAGTGCCATAAAATGCACTGCACATTTCAGACTGCCAAGCCTAGCCCTGATTTCAGGGCTGATTAGTAATTATCAATGAAAATTCCACAAAAATGCTCGATTTTTATTTTGTGCCTATTTCTGCGTGCCTGCTTTCACTCACTTGATCATTCCCTGACAGCTCCCCAGGATTTCTGAAAACTCTGGACTGACCAGCACACCTAGCCAGGCCAGTAAATCAAATATCCCATCACACCAACAGGCCAAAAGGTCTGGTGTCCTGCCCCCGGCAAGAGCCATTTCCTGGCATTTTAAAAGGAGGAGGAGGAGGAGTGGAGAGTCTTAATGACCCCAGAGAGCCCCTCCTAAAGGTGTGGGGCTGGAAGAAGGCTTTTCCAGCTCCCACGCCACAAGTTTTTCTTGTTAAACATCACTTGATACTGTATCTTTCTCTAACTACATGTACTTATTGCAAAAGGGTTTAGTCAGGCTTTTACAGTTTTTCCTCAGTTTTAAGGAAATGTTTTTGTCCTGAGTGCAGCAACACAGTCCTGTTCATTCCAAAGGGAATAACCTGACCTGCCACAAAGATTCACTATTCACTACCCACACACCAGGCTCTATTTGCTTCCAAAGAGCAAATCCTACACTTCTCCCTTGTCCTGCTGCTGTCACCACCTGCAGCTCCCCACCAGCCCCTACCCCTTCCCAGCACCACCAGTGCCCACCCCAGCACCCATAGGATTGGCATTATCTATACATGTATATGATTTATACAGATATCACAGAATATCCTGGCTTGGAACAGATCCACAAGGATCATCCAGTGCAGCTCCTGGCCTTGCACAGGACATCCCAACAATCCCACCCTGTGTTCTCCAAATGCTGAGCTCTGGCAGCCTTAGGGCTGTGACCACTGGCCTGGGGACGCACCCCAGATCCTCTCAGGCAGTTCCAAATCCTCCATTCCAAACTGTCCCCTCTTCCTCCACCTTGTTCTTTGCAGAGCTGCTGATCTCCCTTCATGCCTTCCCATCCTGGCATCCCATTCCCATGCTGCCTCTGGCCTCTCCTCCATGCCTCACTTCTCCACCATGTTCCACATGGAATCCTTGGGGTTGGAAGGACCTCAGAGCCCATCCTGTCTCAGTCCCTGGCACAGGGACACCTTCCACTGTCCCAGGTTGCTCCAAACCCCATTCAGCCTGGCCTTGGGCACTGCCAGGGATCCAGGGGCAGCCACAGCTTCTCTGGGCACCCTGTGCCAGGGCCTGCCAGGGAACAATTCCTAATTCCCAACATCCCACCCAAGCCTGCCTTCCACCAGTGCGAAGCCATTCCCCCTTGTCCTGTCACTCCAACCTCACTACATCCTTCCCCCAAAGCGCTGCACCCCGTTCTGTGCCCACACACCTCTCACCCCCCAAATATCCCCCCCGAGCCACAGACCCCTCTGTCCCACAGCCAGCCCCACAGGCCCCTCTCTCCCACAGACCCCTCTGTCCCACAGCCAGCCCCACAGACCCCTCTGTCCCACAGGCCCCTCTGTCCCACAGCCAGCCCCACAGACCCCTCTGTCCCACAGACCCCTCTGTCCCACAGCCAGCCCCACAGACCCCTCTGTCCCACAGGCCCCTCTGTCCCACAGCCAGCCCCACAGACCCCTCTGTCCCACAGGCCCCTCTGTCCCACAGCCAGCCCCACAGACCCCTCTGTCCCACAGCCAACCCCACATCTCCAGGCTCATCCCAGATCCCCCCTGATCCAGAGCCCCAAACCCCCCAGGCCAGCCCTATGCCACGGCCACTCCGCCCCACCTCAGCCCCCCGCGGCCTCCCCACCTTATCCATGAGCTTCCAGCACTTCTCCACCATCTTCTTGTCCACGGCGCCGGGCTGGTGCGGCCCGAGGTGGTGGTGGTGCGGCTGGAACGCGTCCTTCATCAGCCCGATGAGCCCGCCGGGGCCCTTCTTCAGCGGCGCCGACATGGGGGCGCCCACACCCGGCCCGTGGGGCCCGTCCGGCACCGGGGCCGCGGCCCTGGAGGGGACCGGGCTGAGGGCGCTCCGGGCCGGGCCGGGCCGGGCAGGGCGGCGGCGGCAACCGTGGGCGGTGGCGGCGGCGGCGGCGCCCGGTTCCAGCGAGGCCCCGCCCTCCTCGCCGGCGTTGATTGGTCACCCGCACAGACCCCTCTGTCCCACAGCCAACCCCACATCTCCAGGCTCATCCCAGATCCCCCCTGATCCAGAGCCCCAAACCCCCCAGGCCAGCCCTATGCCACGGCCACTCCGCCCCACCTCAGCCCCCCGCGGCCTCCCCACCTTATCCATGAGCTTCCAGCACTTCTCCACCATCTTCTTGTCCACGGCGCCGGGCTGGTGCGGCCCGAGGTGGTGGTGGTGCGGCTGGAACGCGTCCTTCATCAGCCCGATGAGCCCGCCGGGGCCCTTCTTCAGCGGCGCCGACATGGGGGCGCCCACACCCGGCCCGTGGGGCCCGTCCGGCACCGGGGCCGCGGCCCTGGAGGGGACCGGGCTGAGGGCGCTCCGGGCCGGGCCGGGCCGGGCAGGGCGGCGGCGGCAACCGTGGGCGGTGGCGGCGGCGGCGGCGCCCGGTTCCAGCGAGGCCCCGCCCTCCTCGCCGGCGTTGATTGGTCACCCACCCCCCCGCGCGTATGGCCACGCCCCCTCCCCCGGGGTGGAGCCGACGCTGATTGGTCAGAGAGCGAGGCGCATGCGCAAAGCGACGACATGAGGGCGGCGCGGTGGCCATGCTTGGTGCGGGCGGAGCGGGCGGGGCGCGGTCGCCATGGGAACGCGGGGGCCGCGCTCTGCCCGCCGCCCCCGGGAGGGACCCGCGGCCTTCGCGGCCCTGCTTGCGAAACGGGATCGCTTCCCCTTTCCTGGAGACGCGTTCCCTTTTCTGAGAACGGCCCCGACGCGGGGAAGCGGCGCTGCACGCCCCCTTCTCCCACAGAGGGATGTGCCCGAGGCGGGAGCGGCACCGGCATCCCCATAGCGGGGAGGGAACGGGAGCGGGAGAGCGCCCCGTGCACCTGGCAGGTACCTGAGGCCTCTCCCCAAAGGCAGGGGGAGGCAGAGCCCACCGGGGCTGAGTCCCCGTTCCCGGCACCCCGGCTCCAAGGGGAGAAGGAGCAGGAGCCGGGCAGTGAGGGCAGCAGGGAGAGAAAAGGGGACCAGGGACAGAAAACGGGACTGGGCAGTGAAAAGGGGGCCAGAGAATGAAAAAAGGAAGCAGGGAGAGAAAAGGAGATCAGGGAGAGAAAAGGGACCGGGGGAGAAAAGAGAACCACGGGGTCAAAAGGAGACAAGGGAGAGAAAAGGGAAGCAGGGAGTGAAAAGGGATCGGGAGAGAAAGGGGAGCAGGGAATCTAAAGGGAACCAAGGAGTGACTTTGTCAGAGCTGGCACCACCAAACTTCTTAAAAAATTACAACATGGGCTTGAAAGTCAGTTGAGTTCTGTTTCTTTGCTGCCTTCAGATCCTCTTTTCATCTCCTCTCCGGGCAGAAGAACACATCCTTTTGCAAAAACCAGCCGTGGCTGGTAGCACAGGGGCTGTGACAGGAAACCAGGCAAAGGCAAACTGAGGGTTTGCCCACATCACTTTGGGGAACACGAGCACCCCAAACTCAGCTCTGGAGGTTGGACAGCACAGCCTCAGCCTCTGGATCCAGCCTCCTCCAGGGAGATTTGCTTCCCCTGTGGCACCCACTTGCTGAGGAGCCAAATGGACAGCACAGCAGGAAGCAGCACTAAACACAACAATGGAGCCCAGCATGGATTGGTTATAAAACTCTCTGCCTTCATTTTATTGCCTTTGGTAAAGCTTGGTAAATATTTCTGGGACAGGCAACTCCTTGTCTGGCTTTAATTACCTGGGCAAATTTTCCTAAGGATTATATTGACCTCAAATATGTCAACATTTATTGAGGCCGTGTTCCTGAGGCTTTTCCCATTAGGTGCTAATGGATTCTGGCTAATAGTCAAGCCGGATTGACCACCAGCGGGTGCCCTGGCCAGCTCCACGCTACCACAAGTACCTGGGGAGAGAGCTGGGGAGGGCAACACTGGCTCTGTGAGAGCCAAGTACAAAAATCACCATGGCTCTGATCCAAAGAGATCAGGGAACACGCTTGAGTAATTGCATTCCTGACTATCTGCTTCTTTGGGCATGATTCACTCCAAGCTGGGGGCTGTGAGACTTTAAGCAAAGGTTGATTTTGCTTGGGACTGTTGTGGCTGTCCCACTTGGGACTCCTGGGAGGGTTTCACTTGGGACTCTTGGGACAGATGCAGGGACCCCACACCTTGGTGCTGCTGGGGGCTCCCAGCCACGCTTTTCCCACTTCTCCCTTGAGTGTTCACCCCCAAACCAGCCTGCAGCTGGCCAGCCCTGCTCCCTCCTGAGCTGTCAGCTCCCAAATGCTCTGGACAAGGACTTCTTGCAGCCCAGGTGCCTGCACTGAGCTCAGAGGACACAGAAGCAGGGACTCCAGCGTGGCGTTTCCGTTCGCGCTCGAGAAGGGGCCGAGGTAAAACCTCAGCCCGAGGTTTGTGGTTCTTGGCCACATGCAAAACTCTGTGCTCATTTTCACTCTCCCACGCTCAGCAGAGAGGTGAAATTTCCCCGCTGGGATCCCCCCTGTCCCCCTCCCCCAGCATTGTCACCACCCTGGCAGGGCAGGAACGGATGCCCCTGGTGTGTCACCTGCAAGGGGAACCCTCAGGATGGTCCTGATGTGTCACCTGCAAGGGAAACCCTCAGGAACAACCTTTGCCCTGGAGCACAAGGGATGCCTGCAGGAGTTTTGCTCTCAAATTTCTGGAGGTACAGTGCCCAGGGGCTCTCAGGATGGCTCTCAGCCCCCACCTGGAGAGCTTCCACATCCACTGCCCAACTCCAGGCTTGGGAAGAGAGGATGGATCTGGCCCTGGGATGTGCTGCCAAGTCTCAGTGCTGTCCACAACATCACCCACACAAACAGCAGTGTGGATTTGTCCTTTAATCACCCCAAAAGGGTGGTGCAGGAACAGGGTGGTGCTGGGTGGTGGACACTCTCTGCCCACAGGTTCAGGGAGAGGATGAGAGGAGAAGCACAGGAGAGATGTCCATGCACGTGCAGATCTGAGCCAACCCTCAAGTCCCCTGGGTCATGGTGCAGAGGGCAGCGCCTCAGCTCTCCTGGGAACTCCCAGAGCCTGGAGCTGGGCAAGGGCTTCAGTGCAATGTCCTGAGGAATCCCTGGAGGTAGCTGGGCAGGCAAAGACACAGGTCTGTGGTCAGGTTATGAGAAGCTGCCACTGTGGTTGATAAAAGCTCTGAGTCAGCCTGGGTGAGCAGAGACGAGTCCCTGGGAGTGTCATGCTGTGAGCCAGGCATGAGACACAGGAGCTGCTTGTGCAGGGTCCATGTTGAGCAGTGCTGAGGCCCGAGGGGCTGGCCGTGGCCTGGGTGGAGGTGCTGTGTGGGAGAGCCTGTCCTGAGGCTCCTGGGCTGTTAGAATGCCTGGCACAGCTTTGTGTGCTCCTCCTGGCGCTGGCTCTGCAGAGACACAGGTTGGAGAGGTCTTTCTGCCTGGCCCCTGTGGCCAGGGACCACACAGCCTCCTGCTGGCAGCACCACAGGTGCCAGGAAATGTTAGGATGGGCAGAATAGGAGGGTGGCAGCACTCAGAGCACTGCCAGGCTGTGAGCACTGCCCTGAGGAGTTACCTGTATGATCTCTATACTGTTGGCAGCTGCCATCAGCCAGGACACAGGCCCCTTGGGTGCCACCTCAACGTCACAGAGTGCAGGAGAGCCACTGCGAGAGGGCAGCGAGGGCGTGCAGGAGCCTGAGGCGGGGTCACTGTCCTCAAAGAACTGCAGGGGGGACAGCCCGATCTGGAAGAGCACAAGAGGGATGGACACACAGCCCCTGTGGAGGACACCCATCCCACCATGCAGCCCCAGAGCACCCCAGGGCTCCCCAGCCAGAGCAGGAGCGTGCCCCCAGAACGTACCGAGTGGTAGAACTCATCCCCAGCGGGGTCGATGACCAGCAGCGTCACCTGGTCCTCCCGGGCGCGGATCCTGTGCACGGTCTGCTCGTGGTCCAGCCCCTCGATGCTCTCCCCGTTCACGGCCAGCACTCGGTCCCCTTCCTTCATCCCTGCCTGCTCGGCCGGCAGCCCCACATCCACTTCCCACAGGAACTGGCCTGCCACAGCGGGGCACAGGGAGGGGGCAAAGGCTCACAGAGGGGAACTGGCTCTGCTGACCCCCGTGTGCAGGTGGGGACAGGGTTCCATTGCAGGCACAGAGCTGTCAGCTCTTCCCAACTCCCAGAATTGCTCAGGTACACACTGCCCCTCTCAGCCCCCTCACCTACTCCTCCCGAGCTGCAATCATCCTCCTTGAGCAGGAACCCATAGCCAGCGGGACCCTTCACCAGGTGCAGCTCGCGGACCTTGAAGGGGAGCCTGGAGGTGTCTGCCAAGGCAGCCGTGACCCGCAGGCCCCGCAGGCGATAGAACTCCTCCACGGCGCTGGATGCCACCAGCAGTGTCACCTTGTTGCCGCTCTGCTTAAGCTGGATGGGAAGCACAGGTGCTCAGTGACATTCTCAGCCCCATCCCTCGCCCCCCCATGGCAGGAGCAGGCACCTTTTTGGTGAGCTGTGTGTGGGAGTAGCTCTTGACGCTGTCCCCGTTCAGCTCCAGCAGCCAGCAGCCTGGTGGCACCCCTGCTCTGTCCGCTGGCCCGTCCTGCAGCACCGACAGCTGGAAGGTGCCCTTGGTGCCTGCAGGAGCAGAAGGGGCACTTTGGGGTGAGAGAGGTGCTACAACGGGGAGGCTCGTGGTGGCAGCATCCTGCTTTACCTTCTGGACATGACACGCTGAAGCCAAAGCCGCTTTTGTCCCTCGTGACGTGGCAGAGGCGCGGGCGGATGTCATCTGGCAGCATCTGGGACAGGTCCCTGCCCAGGGATTTGGCTGTTTCGTAGGAGTCACCATCCAGCACCGCCAGCAGGACCTGGTTCCCGCTGGCCTTGATCTTCTGCACCACCTGGAAGAACCCAGGCTGTGAACTCTGGGCAGACACCCTCTGATGGGGTGGGATCAGGGTCCCTGGTGTCATTCATCCTCTGTGCCCCTGGCTGGGGAGCACCCAGGCGTTCCCATGGGATGCTCCCAGCTTACCCTGAGGTGGTCCATGTGGTCCACGAAGTGGCCATTGACCTGGAGCAGCCGGTCCCCGTCCTGCAGCCCCCTGCGCTGGGCCACCCCCCCCAGCTCAATCTGCCGGATGACGTGGCCCTGGCAGCCCAGCTCCTCGTGCAGGCAGAAGCCGAAGGTCTCTGTGCTCTCCTTGGTCAGGAGGTAGAAGCGGGGCTCCCCCATGCCCTCACCATCTGTGTGGGGGCACAGCCTGTGAGCAAGGCCCTGCAGGGATCCTCACACAAGTTGTGCACCCCATCCTGAGCTGGGGATCTGCTCATCCCTCTGTGTTTACCTCCCAGAGGTCCCCAGTGTGAGAGAGCTCAGGACCCCAGCAGTGCCACAGCCCCGTGCAGACACAGGGACACCCAGGTGCCACAGCCCCGTGCAGACACAGGGACACCCAGGTGCCACAGCCCCGTGCAGACACAGGGACACCCCAGCAGTGCCACAGCCCCGTGCAGACACAGGGACACCCTGTGAGATGAGGGCGTGTATTTACCCGTGTCCTCAGTCAGTGTCAAGGCTGGGTTGTCGATCCCAACTTTGGGGTTAAATTCAAATTTTCTGAAATGATAAAGGGCAGGAGAGGCCACGTTAGTGCAGGATGGCCCTGCCTCTGCCTCCCCCAGTCTTGAGGAGCTTGTTCCTCCCAGAAAGGGCCAAGTGGGGGCTGTGCCTCCTTTTCCTTTGGGAAAGCCAGAGGGGATTTCCCTCTTGGACCATTTCCCACATCTCTCCTGAGCCCCAGAAAGCCCCTGGTCAAGGGGAGATCAGCACTTACATGATGGACATCTTGTCTCCCTCGAGCCCTGCAGAGGGAGAGGAGAGGTCAGCACAGGAGGTGGTGGGCTGGGAGCAGACCCCACGCTCTGGAGCACTCAGGGCTTGTCCACTCACAGGCTGAACCTGCCATCCAGGTGAGGGGGTTTGCCAAGCCCACACAGCCCCCAAGCCCCTCTGTCTCTCAGCACAGGTTGTTCCTTGGCCCTGTCACCACTGTCCTGCATTCCCAGCAGCAGGACCCGCTGCTCAGGTCCCGTGGGCGCTCACTGTGGGGGCAAAGCAGGGCCAAGCAGATGGGGTCAGTCCTGGGGGTTTACAGGGCTCTTCAGTGAGGGCTGAGAAGGTTCACCAGGACCCCAGAGAGCTGCTGGAGCCAGGAGAAGGAAACAGAGACCTTCCCCAGCACACCCCGCCCCCCCATAAAACCCCTCCGCGTCTCTTTGGGCACAAGGAACCTCAAACCCAGGGAGAGGGGATGCCTTCCCAGCATCCCCACAAGGAGACATTTTCCTGCATGCCTCTGGCTCCTTCCACAGGCTGCCTGGGCTCTGACATTGTCTTGCTTCACCTGGCAGCAGGGCCTGTGTGTGTGGGGAAGGGTCTCCAGAGGATTTCCCGGCACATACCTTTTGTTTGCTTCATGGCTGCAGGGGTTGCCAGAGGGAGCAAGGTACAGGGTGAAGTGGCAGGGAAGTGTCCCCGCCTCCCCCAAGACGCCCCAGGTTTAATGGTTAAACAGCTCCAAGTCTGGACTGCCCTCCCAGCCCCAGGGCACTGCCAGCCGGAGCTGGGAGAAGGGACCAGCACCCCGGGACACCCAGATTGGGGACAGCTCCTGGTGGCTTCCAGGGGGACACACAGTGCGGGGAGAATGACTGGTTCAGCACTGGAGCAGAGGTGGGCTGCTCCATGCCAGTGCTGTGAGATGGGGAAAGGCAGAACCCTCCACTCCAGCTGCTGGAGGGGCGGCTCCACATTCCCCCAGGAAGGGGCCGAAGAGGAGATCAAGTCTTGGTACTAGTGTGCTTCAGTGGAAATGAAGAGGTGCACTTTAATCCTCCCAAAAGATTCACAGACAAGCCCCAGTCCTGCTCCCTGCCACTGCTCTGGCTGGGGTGCAGGGGCTGGCTTTCCACAAGCCCAGAAGAACAAGTCCCATTTGCTCCTGGCCTGGTTTCTGTCCCATTCCCACACTTCAGCCTCACCTGCAGATGAGGCTGAGCCCCACACACCCAGCACCTTTGACAGCACCATCCACCCAGCATCTCCAGGTGGGTAAAGGTGCAGGGAACGTGCTGCTGGGCACACTCCACTGCCCCACCCTGGCTGGTGGATGGGCAGCAGGTTAGAGGCTCCCATCCTGCAGTTTCCCCAGCATTTTCTTGACCTCGCTCTCGACTCGCAGGAATTTGGCTTTCCTCCAAGGATTGGCAGTCTGGCTGCGGCTGCTCTCCAGGTCCTGCAGGAGGAGGGCGAGGTGCTGCCGGACCCGCTCGCGGTCCCAGAAGGGCAGGTTCCTCTGCACCACGTTCAGGATGTGGGACCAGTAATCGGAGACATCGGTGCCCGCCGTGAGGAAAACCAGAGCCCTGACGCCATCCCGGTCCATGCGCAGGCTGTCAAGCGCCCTCTTGCCATCCTCACTGATGTCGTTGAAGTAGAGACTGGGAAAGCAGCAGGAGACCCTGGTGAGGACTGAGGGGAAGGACAGAGGCACACAGGGCAGGGCAGAAGGACAGGGATGTGGCAGAGCAGACTCACTGCACTTTGTCCAGCGTCTCGTGCCTCTTGGCCACCTCCACCACGCGCAGGGCCGCCGTGTCCGTCAGGGAGTTGTAGCCCAGGTTGAGCTCCTGCAGGTGCTGGTTCTGGGCCAGCTGCTGGGCGATGGCCTCGGTGCCGGGGTCCCCCAGCGCGGTGTGCAGCAGGGACAGCTGCGTCAGCGAGCGGTTGCCGGCCAGCGCCTCGGCCAGGTAGCGAGCACCCTGCTCGCCCACGGGGTTGTTGGCCAGCCTGTGGGACACGGGAGCTCAGGGAGTGCCCAGGCACGTGGGGGGCAGCAGTGGCAGCCTCATGCAGGGCGGGGGCCGTACTCACCGCAGTCTGCTCACCACACACTTGTCATGCAGGAGCAGGTCACGAATTTCCTTGCAGGCGTCGGAGCCCAGGCTGTTGAGCTGCAGACTGGTGCAGAGCAAGACACGGGGGTGACAGGAACAAAATGGCTGTTACCTGTGAGCCTGGCAGCCCTGCCCGCTCCATTTTGCCCATCACCATCCTCCCTGGGCTCCCCAAACTAGGCCACTCCAGGTTTCCTCTCCCAAAGGGAGCACAGTGACACCGCACCGGAGCATGAGCCAGCAGAGCCAGTGCCAGCAGGAGCAGGGCAAGGGGAAGGGGATGGCGGAGTCTTCAGGAGATGGGTGAAGGTCAGAGGAGGGATCAGGGCTCCATCAAGCCCTCCTGAGCATCTGGAGGAAGGAAGTGCGGCACAGCCCAGCTGCACAGCCCGATCCATCTGTGCTGAGCACGTCTCGCCACCACCTGGGCGGCAGGAAGACCTGCAGCTCCACAAACGTTCTGGAACGCTTGTGGGAACATCTGCACAGCCCAGACTCCCACCTCTGGGACAGCAAACTCCTCACAGAGCTAACGACACGGGGATGCCGGGTAACTTCCCCTAGGGACTCGGGTCTGCCAGGACAGCTGGCAGCCCGCCCAGCCTGTACCAGCTGCAGGGAACTTCCCAAAAATTCCTGTGAGAAGGTCAGCTGGGACTGCAAATCCCAGCATGCAGTGCCCTAGAAAGGCTGCTCAAGGAGTGTTGCATGTTGGAAGCTGTAGTTCCCTAGGTCTGCACTGAGGATAAACATGCCCTTTCCTAAGTTTTCCATACTTGGGCTCCTAAACCATCCCTGTGATGGGCAGAGGTGAGAAAAAACACGATTTTTGAGCAGTGAGGAGGTGGTACTCACTGGAGAGCTTTGCATCGCAGCAGGACAGGGAAGAGGGTCCTCAAGCTGCCGCTGTCCAGGTTGCAGGAGGTCAGGTTCAGCTCCTCCACCTCGTGACACGTGGTGCTCATGACAGACGCCAGCACAGAGCACTTGAGAGGGGTCATCTTGACGGAGGAGAGGTTGACAGCGCGGAGGGAGCGGATGGCCTCGGCCGTGAAGCGCTCGTTCTGGAACTCGTGCAGGAAGAACAGGTAGTCCATGAGCTCCGAGGGGGGCAGGCCCCTGCGGCCCTTCCTGATCACCGTCTTCTTCATGGCCTTGGCGATCTCAAAAGCTGCCAGGTTCTTGATGGAGCAGCCCAGCTGCTCCAGGATGGCGCGGTTGCGGCGGGAGAGGATCCCACCCATGAAAATGGGGAAGAGCTCGAAGACCTCATCATCCGGGGCCTCATCGGGGTGGCACATGGGGCCCTCCACGCCCAGGATGCTGGAGTTGATCTGGTCCAAGACATCGTCGTTGTAGTAATCCTCCTCTTTGAACAGCTCCTCTGCCATGGTGTGGGCAATGGTGTCCCTGTCCTTGCCGCCCACCCGGGAGAAATAGCGAGGGAAGATCTTGAGCAGGTTGAAGAGCACGGGGAGGAAGCGCAGGGGCAGCACCTTGGAGATGATGTTCACAACCACAGCCACATCTTCGCTCACCTTCCCGAGGACCTCTGACAGCTCCTTCCCCACTCTCTGGGCCAGGGTCTTCTTCTCACCCAGCACCACGTACAGGGCTGCCAGGTACTCCTGCATGGCGGGGATGGTGAAGACAAAGGTGTGCTCCTTGCCCGGCTGCACGCACGGGCTGAGGAAGAAGCGGAAGACGTCGCTGCGGAAAACCTCCAGGAGGTTGAGCTCGCTTTCAGTCTTCATCTCCACCTCGAAACACTCCCGCAGGTCTTCCTCTGAGAAGCAGGTCTTGCGGGACATCACCCCCTCGTAGGCCAGCTTGCCCACTGTCTTGGCCACATACTTCATCATGGAGATGTGGGTGGGGTCGGTGCTGTCCAGCACCTCCCCGCTGAAGTTGAGCCTCAGGAAGCTGGTGTAGATGCCAGTGAGGGTCTGGCTGGGAGGAACCGTCCTGGTGAAGTAGAGGAAGTGCAGGGTGGTGCACACCAGCCAGCAGTAGGAGGGCAAGAAGCAGGCAGCCGTTATTTGGTTGTGGCGCTCCAAGTTCCTCGACAGCATCTCCACCAGGTTCTCCTGCTCCGCTGAGCGGCGGTCCTGGCTTTCCTCCCCGGAGCAGCCAGGCTGGCTGAGGCGCATCTGGAAGTAGAGCTTCTGCAGGTTGGTGTCGGAGAAGCCGCAGATCTCGGCGTAGCGCCCCACGTACTTGCCGGGGATGCGGCGCACGGCCGACGGGCGCGTGGTGACGATGATGCTGGCCTGGGGACACAGGGGGGGAAGAGTCTGGGGCTGCTCAGCAGGGTGCAACCCACTGAGAGGTGCACAGTGATCACCCCGTCCACAGGGTGGGGTTCACAAGTGCTGCACAAAGGGCGCTGGATCAAACCTGGCCCAGGCAGAGGGGACAGGAGAACTTTCCCCATTTCCTCCTAGACATAAAGTCTGGAAGATCACAGCCTTCATTATCTCACCAGGCCTCCTAGACATAAATAAAGTCTGGAAGATCACAGCCTTCATCACCTTACCAGGCCCCCTCCAAAGATCCCACCACTGACATGAGGCCACCTTAGCAAGTCCCTCCAGGAAGAGAGGCTCCCTGCTTGCTCCCAGCCAAGCTGGACTGCAAACAATGATCACAACAGCCCTGTGCTGCCTCAGGGCTCACCCCCAACCTTCTCCCAGCACAAAGCAGGGCAACACCGACCTCGGGCAGGAGGTATTTCCGCAACAGGTTGACCACGATGGCAGAGGGAGGCACGGGCTCGTTGGGGTCACAGCACAGCTCCGTGCCAGCCAGGCGGAAATCCAGGTTGAGGCGCTCCAGGCCGTTGAGGATGAAGAGCACCCTGAGGTTGGAAGCTTCCAGCACCGGCACCACGTCCCGGAGGTGCTGGTACTTCTTGGTGATGAGGCGCCGCAGGGACACGTGGGCATGGCTGTGGGACAGGTCCTCGCAGGAGAAGGGGATGACCAGCTGGAAGTGGGGCAGGCGGCCGTGGCACCAGTCCACCACCATCTTCTTGATGAGGGTGCTCTTGCCCGTGCCCACGGTGCCGTAGAGCACCACGTTCTTCACCTGCCGCCCGCAGGCGTCCACGTCAAAGAGGTTGTGGAGGCTGATAACCTTTCTACAGGGCTGCTGGAGCTGGTTCTGGATGGTTAAATCAGGGGAGGGCTTCAGAATCTCCTCCAGGGAGCTCTCCCGGATCACTGGGTCCACGTGGACGGCATCCAGAGAGAAGGAAGGGCCAAACTGCCTCTCCTCATTGGGCTGGTGGCTGAACCACGCAGACAGGCTCTTCTGGTGCTTCTTGATGGCACCTGGAAGGAGGAAGGTGCTGGACATGACAAGGGCTGCTCACTGGCAAGGCACTGGGGAAGTTGCCTGCCCCAAGCCATTGCAGAGAGGGGACAGCACCCATTTACGGGGAACCCTCACACTGCCCAGGACAGCAGCTGCCCCCACCCCACTGTGTAGGACCCTCCCTCCAGACCAGAGCTGCAAACTCACCAGCAAAAGCCACGTTCCTCAGCTGGGACTGACCATGGCGAGAGGAGCTGGGCTGGGCAGAGCTGTCCAGAGAGTCTCCCTGGTAGTGAACACAGCCCCTGCAGGAGGAGGGAGAGTGTCACAGGGAGCAGCTCCAAACCCTGCCTGGGGCAGGGTGGGCAGATCACCAGCGAGGCTGTGGGAAGTGCTGAGAGGAGCCAGCTCACCCCTTCCTTTCCCCACACCACGGGAGAGCGCAGGGCCAGGGTAGGGGCACGGCTGGGAGGTGAAGGCAGGTCAGCAAGCCACGGGCTGTGCATTCCCAGAAAACCCGTGCAGAGGCAGAGGAGGTGGGCTGGAGTCAGAGCAGGCAGGGAGGTGGGTCTGGGTGTTTGTCTAGGTGGAAGCAAAGCAGTGTCCCTGGTGCCAAGGCAGCCAGCTCAGCTACCCAGGTGCTGTGACAAAGAAAGAGTCCCAGCCGTGTGACAGTGACTGTACCTGGGGAGGGAGATGCTGCTTGTGCCAAGGATCCTCCTGAGGAAACACCTGCCTGCACCACCTGCCGGGGAGGAGGAATGCACACGGTCAGGGACCCAGCAGGGCTAACCCCACACAGCTTCACACCCTGCTAGGGTGCCCCACACCCCTGCACAGCTGGGAAGGGATGTCCAACAGGGACAGGGCCGAGTGCCAGAGGCACAGAGCCCAGCTCACCTGGCACGGCAGCGGCACACACGGACACGCTGCGGGTCCCCCTTGTCCCTGCCAGGGACCGCGGCAGCCGTGCCCAGCTGCCCCAGGGCAGGCAGCTCTGGCACTGCATGGCCCGGGACATCCTCCACCTGAAACACAGGGGAGATGCTGAGGGGCTGCGGGGGCTCAGCAGAGCACAGGGGACTGTGTGATGTGCTGCAGCAGAGCCCTGCCCAGCCTTACCTGCCCCAGCGTGGTCCAGCCCGGCAGAACCGGCTGTGCTGGCGCTGACTCAGGATCCCGCCCCAGCAGGGCTCAGCAGGGCGATCCTTCAGGAGCCCGGGCGGTGCTCACAGCCCCCAACATCCCGGGAAACTGAGGCAGAGAAAGAGGGGAGAAAGATATAAGCAAACCCCAGCCGAGAGGAAGCACCGAGCAGGGTGACAACTCACTCACACCTCCCACAAGCCACGCTGTTTACAGCCCCTTTTTATGTGATCCAGGTGGAGAAACTGAGGCACAGGGGCGGGGGCAGAGGAGCTGACCTTGAGCACAGGTGTCCCGACCTCGGTGCCCCTGCAGGAAACAAACCCCACGCTGTCCCATGCCCGCTTTCCAGCCCCTTCCCAGCCCCTCTGCTGAGCCGAGGGCCCTGAGCTGCCGTCCTGCTGCTGAGCCCTTCCGGGGACCCCTCTGGGGACCCCCGTGTCCCGGTGGCAGAGGTGCCCTCGCCGCTGTGCCCTCCCGGCTCCCCGCTCCATGGCGAGGCCGTGGCGGGGCAGGGAGCGGAGCGGGGGCAGCGGCGGGGCCGGCACCGAGCGAGGCGGCAGCGGCGCCGCGGTTACCTCGTCCTGCCGGATTCCAGCCGGGAACGCCGAGCTGCCTGCGCTCGATCTGCCCGGAGCTGCCCATCCGCCTCCTGCCGTGCCTGTCCCGGGCACGGCTCCGCTGCGGAGGCGGCTGCTTCGCAGGCAGAACTTCCTGCAACGCCATCCCGTCCTGGCCCGCCCCGCACACGGCGCTGCCAGCTCCCCGGAGAGGACGGGAGAGCGGCTGCAGGCTGGCAGAACACCCGCACCCCGCAGCTCCCCGAGCAGGACGGGAGAGCGGCTGGAAGCTGGCAGAACACCCGCACCCTGCTTTCCCAGCTCCCCGAGCAGGGTGGGAGAGCGGCTGGAAGCTGGCAGGAACACTCGCACTCCCCAGGGCCTCCCAAACGCGCAGGATTGGGGAGCTGCGCTCTTACCAGATGTGCTGCGAGGCGGGGATGTCCCCCGGACACATCTGGCCGCTCTGCATCCCCAGCTGCTGCCCGGCTGTGCAACCGGAGCTGCAAGAACGCGTTCTGCTTCGGAGAGAATCGCTCCCCAGCGGGGGAGGCTGTGCTGGCTGTGCTGTTGAACACACACAAACACGCACACCTGTACCTGCCCTCCCGCTGCCGGCAGATCCGCTCTGGCCACCCAGCAAGTGACAGCTGTGTCACCGGGGCCACACGCACTCTTCTCAGTCCCTGGGTGCTGTCGTGGGAAGTGCCAGCCCACCCAGGGGTGCTGGGAGTGAGGGGTCACAGCTGTCACACCCCCCTCGAGGCTCTCAGGAAAGGGAGACAGCCAGGCAGTACACTATAAATATAAGTTTTATTGATGTGTGAAATCCAACAAGTACAGCTGGCATCTCGGAAACACCGACACAAACCAGAACATCTCCTGCCCGACAGCTCCCGGGACCCTCTGGGCACTGGTGGGCAGCAAGCTGGCACCTGGCACCCCGTCCCTGCGGGGCACTTACCTGCATGTGCAGCCCAGCCTGGAGAGCCCAGGGTCTCACCTCCACCCTGCCTGGTTCCTGCCAGGCTGCAGCTGTGGGCAGCTGTGCCCTGATCCTGCTTCACAGCCTCCTCCCAGCAAGGCAGAAAGACCTGGGCAAATGCCCCCCGGAGCAGCTGCCACAACAGAGCTGTGCCAGCAGAGTCCCTCGGCCTTTGAGCTGTTACCTGCATCTTATTTTGGCAAGCTGTCCCAGGGAGAAAGCAGCCCACACCTGTGGTCGTGTGGAAATGTGAGTTTCAATGCCTGCACTTGTCTGCGTGGTGCCCCCCTGGATCACACGTGCCCCCAGTGTCCAGCCTCGTGTCCTGACACGGCAAAGGCTGGAAAACCACAGGGCTGCAGCGTGGCAGGGACACACAGAGAGCCCAGGCAGCCACAGGCTGCCCGTGCACAGGGACAGGACAAATGGTGTCCACACACAGTGAGAAGGAAACACTGTTTTATTGCCTGATTTGGGAGAGGGGTGAAACCCTGGGAGAAGCCCCATCCCCTCCCTGTTCTAGCCCAGTCTCCCCTCCAGCAAAGCCCAGCCAGGTGATGAAGCGTTTGCTCTTCTTGTGCGTGTGACAAAGGTGGCCTGGACATGCATGGAGGTGAGTGGCCATGCCCCTGCCTGCCTGCCTGCCACCAGAGCACCTGTGAGAGGCAGAACCCGATACAGCCATGGGCCAAAGGGGCTGAAGCAGTTTTTGGTGGGTTGAGGCTCAACTGGTGTTCCCAGGGAGCCAGAGCCACAGCTTGAACCCCACCCTCATCCACTCAAAGTGCATCACAAGGAAAGGCAGGGGCAGGAGAGGAGAGGAGGTGTGGGGGAAGAAGCCTGCTCTCCTCCATCACACTCCTCGTGATTATCCAGACGCATTCTCTCGGGGCATTCCTGCAGCCAGGAGCACCCACGGCTCCGCTTCCCTGCTCTGATAAAGTGCATCCTTGCTGCTTCCCTAAGGGCCCCCTGGAGCAGGGTGGCTGCACCCCATCCCTCTGCCATGCCAGGGCAGAGAAAACCCCTCCTGCAGGGCAGGGACCACCCAGGCCATAAACCCCGCGGTGCTCAGCCCAGCCCTGCCAGCCTCGGGCTCAGTGCAAACGTGCTTCTCCTCCTTGCATTTCCCTGCACCTTCCACTGCCTCTAGGGCTGTCCTTGAAGACAGGGAAAGGACAGTCTCAGCTCCTCAGGCAGCACCGAGGGTGCCTTTGCCCTGTGCCACTTCCCCCACTCATCAGCCCCTTCATACCAACACATTCACTTGTGTCCTGCTGCCCCGGGCAGAGCAGCCTGCCCCATCACCCCCACTCCCCAGAGCCCTTGCCCAGCTCAGGGACAGCCATCCTGCAGCTCCAGGCTTTGTCCTGGCCCTCTGCCCCGCAGTGGCCACATACCTGGTGAGCTGGGACACTGCAGCTCACGGGCACAGGAGGCACAGGCTGTGCTGAGCCCTCCTGGACATCCCGGGGGTGCTGCCAGCTGCCCCGTGCCAGGCAGGCTGGGCCCAGCAGTGGGAGCCCTGGCAGTGCTGCTCCCAGCTGGGGGAGCCTGTTCCACGGGGCTTCTCTGCAAGCAGCAGAGCCTGGTCAACAAATCCTTCCCTGTGCCTGGGGGACACGGCCAGTGGCAGTCACTGGTGCCTGCTGGGAGCCCCTTTGCTCCACACACTAGTCCATCTTGTCCTGGTCCTCCTGGGAGCAGTGGTGGCCCTGGCTGTGATGGCACAGGGGTGTCCAGGTGTGCTGGGTGCAGGACACAGCGCTGGGGACGGCAGCACCCGCAGGGTGCAGAGGACAGGACCCACCACGAGAGCCCCAAATGCCAGGGGGGAAGTTGGAGCTGTGCAGAGCTGCCCCACTGACACCTCCTGCACCTCAGGATCCATCCAGGGAAAAGCCTCAGCTAGTCCCAGCCCAAGAGCAGGGCAGCAGCAGGGCATCATTCCCAACAGCTCCAGGGACAAGGAGATGGACAAGGGTGACAGCCCCACATGCCCCAGCTCCCTGCCCCTCCGTGCACCCCGTGAGAGAGCAGGCACAGGGACTGTCCCCCACTCCTCCGTGCCCCTGTGGCTGTGGTTGGCAGCACTGCAGCCCTCCAGCTGGCACAGCTCCACTGCAGAGCACGGCACTGAAGGAAGATCCAGGAGCAGAGGGGAATTTTGTGAGGGACAGTGAAAAGTCAGACAGCAGCCCCTGGGGAAAACCCCGATGCTCAGCATGGAAAGGGCAGCAGGGTGTGTCCTGCTTCCAGACCCTCCGTGCAGGAGAGCCCCATGGCCAAACATTCCTCGATGCCCTCCAGGCAGGGGAAGCTCAGCTTTGCTGAGTGCCAGCATCAGTGTCAGGCCAGCCAGACTCTGCTGCGCAGCCCCAACCCATGCCAGCAAAACCAAAGATCAGAGTCCAGGATTCTGCTGGAATCTGGCATTTGCCCTGCAATCCCTGGCGGCTCAGAGTGCCAGGAGCAGGATCCCCAGGCTGACCTGAACCAGGGCCAGCCTGCCAGGGTGGGGCAGGGCTGCCTCCCCCACTTCCATGCTTGCCAAAATCCTGCGGGTTCCCACGTCTGTGGGTGACACGTGCAGCCCGGTGCCAGCGGTGCCAGCACACCCACGGAGCCTGTGCTGTGCAGGTGAGCAGGGTGCTGTGTTCCCAGCACAGCAGCGTGTGCAGATGCCCCACCAGCTCTGGGCTCAGCTCAGTTCCTCTGGAGAGCCAGCAAGGTGCTGAATTGCCTTCCCTCTGCAAGGTGTGCGAGTTTGGAGCAGCCACCAGAGACACCAGTGCCAAAGGGACCTTCTGGTACCAGTCACTAAGTGCAAAGGCCTTCCCTGTGTCCGGGTCACCCACTGCAAACAAACCAGTCTGGGATCTCACCTGGTTTCCAGTTCAGGCACTGCTGGGACCCCCTTCTGCACAGCGTCACCCTGGGGGCTGGCACTGTGACAGGCTGGGTGTCCTTGGTGTCCCCTCCTTGCACAGTCGGTGCTGAGCGAGGCTCATCCATCCTGTCCTGCTGAGACAGCCCCAGTGGAGCTGGGGGAGAGAGGCTGCAGGGGAAGGGCTCAGGGCCAGCTCTCCTCCTGCAGCAGAGCCTCCAGTGGTGGCACAGCTGAGCCCAGCCCTGTTTTTCAGCCTCCTGGCACGGGCAGGGTGTGGGAAGCCAAATCCTCCTTGCTCCATGCAAGGAGCAGTCACTTCTCTCCATGTCAGTTGAATTGGTTCAGAGCCTCCTGTCTCAGACCCCAGAGACAACAGGGACTGAATGTGAGACTCCCTAAGGTCTGAGAACACTGTCCTGCTCCCACAGACCCTGGCACGAAGATCCCATCTCTGAGGGTGATGTCCCAGCAGGAATCTGAGACAGAGCCCCAAGTCCTTCTCTGCCTGTTTGCTCCCTTTGCTGAAGACTGGGATGCAGTGGGGCTTGTGGGGGAAAAAAAAAAAAAAATAAAGAAAAAGGAAAAAAAAAGGAAGATTTGCACAGAAAGGAAAGGGGGATGCAGCAATCTCTGTGGCTACAGCGACAGGAAACTCTAAAGACTTGTGCAGCTTCACCTATGGCATCTTTGGGCTCTTCTCAGCACTGGCCAGGGCGAGGAACGGGGCCACGAGCAACACTTCCAGCTCTGCAGCTCTGTCCTGCCAGCCAGCCCCAGCACGGAGCAGGCTCCTCGCAGCCGTGCTCGGCACAAACCGCCTGGGCTGGACTGTCCCTGGTGTCCCCAGGGCAGGCAGGGACAGCAAGAGGGGACCCAAGCTCCGTGGGGCTCGTCAGTCCTGGGGGGGAGAGTGGCACGTGCCAGGGCTGTACAAAACGTTTTGCAATGAAGAGTGTGTGGAAAGGTTAAAACAGTTCCGAGATGTCTCAAAACCCTTCTCGACTGAGCCAGGCCCGGCTGGCACCTCCCGGTGCCTCCGCCACGGTCCAGGACCTGCAGGAGCACCGTGTCCATCTGCAGAACATCTCTCACGGCAGGCCAGGCCCGGGAACGGCACCGGGGCCCCACGGCCCCTTTATCTCTCAGATTTGACCTTGTACCTGAGCACCAGGTAAGCCAGGAGCCGCAGGATGACGAAGAAGATGCCCAGGATGAGGAAGTCCAGGTAGAGCTTGGCCTCCTCCACGTCCAGCTCCTGCAGGATCTTGATGGGCTTTTGGAAAGGGCAGAAGTCCTCGAGGCACTCCAGGTCCTCGCGCTCCATGGCGTAGATGGTGAGGATGACCCCCTCGAAGCCATACCTGGGGCAGAGCACACCTGAGGGTCACCGGGGCCCAGGGGAGCCCAGGACAGGGAGCTCTGGCCAGAGCTGGGGCCCACCTGACGTAGGAGACGTAGGAGCTCCACTGCAGGTAGGTGGGGATGGTCTTGAAGCTGACGAAGAAGCCCGAGAAGAGCAGCACGGGGATGGCAGTGACGGGTCCCACAAAGGTGGCCACCTGGGGAGCAGAGGCCACTGGGGGTCACGTCCCTGCCCACCCGTGGGCAGAACTTCACCCCAAACTGTCACAGGGTGCCTTGCAGCTCTGCACAGAGAGACAAAGCCCCGCCAGACCTGCAGGGAAGTGGAAGCAGCTCCGATGAGAAGCCCAAGGGACTGGGCCACCAGGGCCGTGGCGGTGGCCAGGGCGGAGAAGAGCAGGAAGCGCGTGGCCTCGGGGGGCTGGCCCGTCATCCAGTACACGATGCTGCAGTAGGCGATGGGGCAGATCACCTGCATGGGGACAGAGACAGCCCTGCTGGGCCCCACGGCCATCCCCACCCCGCTGGGGGAAGGGGGCACCCCGCCACGGCCAGCTTGGGGCACTGGGTAGGAAGTGGCAGTGCCAAGGGTGGCACATCAGCATCAGGGTGGTGACAAAACGCACGGGAAGCTCACCTGGAAGGGCACATCTGCCATGGTCTTTGCCAGGTAATAGGCTTTGAGGCTGTACCAGTAGTTCAAGTGCTCCCTCAGGAATACGGTCATCTCCTGGGGGACTGCAGGGAAACAAGGAGTGAGCAGGCAGCAGTTCCCTGCCCTGGGGTGCTCCAGCCCCTCTCACACCCGCCCTGCAGGTGGGATGCACCAGGTAACCCCCTGCCTGCATCATGAGAGGGTGCCCAAACCTTCGTTGGGGAAAAACATCAGTGACTGATATGGGAAATTCCACGTGGAAAAGTCAGGTTGGGTGGGGCTTTTTACAGATTTACACACATTTTCTCAGATTAAAAACATAAAATATTAAAATTCCAGCATTCTGCTTTGGGACAACAGGGGTCAAATAGCCAGATTACAGCCAAATAAAGGCCAAAACTGCAATACAGGCAAACAGAAAGCTTTCCCCTGTTCTTTAATTTTTTTTCTCTCTCTCTTATTTTGCCTCTTTTGCCCGCTCCCTCTGGCTCCCCACACCCTGCCCAGCACCCGCACTCTGCCACACAGCTGGAGCACCCCGAGAGCTGGGAGCAGCGAGGGGATTTGGGGGCAAGGGGCTCCTTACAGGTGAGGATGGTGGGCATGAGGGCAGCGAACATGAGGAAGAGCATGGAGAAGAAGAGGAAGCCGGTGTTGTTGAAGACCTTGCCCGCGTCGTTGCCGATGTGCAGGTAGAGCAGCCCGATGAGCACCCCGATGCAGATGTGGGACATGAACCGCAGGTGGGTCAGCACCTGCGGGCACAGAGGGGCTCAGCAAGGCAGGGCTGCACCCCAAAAACATCCCAAGGGAGCAGAGGACAGCCCATGGAGCTCCTTGTGGCTGCCAGCCCCCAAAGAGCCCAAGCCCAGCCCTGGCCCGGCCTCTCCTGGCCTCACCGTGTCCCGCAGGATGCAGATGAAGGTTCTCTTGAAGAGGATGCAGAACTGAGTTGAGGTGCTGGTGGCAAACGTGTGGCTCTCGATGTGATCCACATCCTGCAAGAGCACAGGGACGTGGGTCAGGTTCACCCCACGGGGCCCCTGCTGGCACTGGAGGCTCCTCTGAGCCCCACTCACCGTCCCACACGTTGGGCACGACGAGTCTGCCTTGTCAGGGCTGCTCTTCTTCTCAGCCATGGTGCACATCCCATTCTGCACCGCGCGGAACAGGACGGGGTTGAGGTCCCCGTACTCCCCCGAGGCCACCTCGATGACTGTGGAAGGGAACAGGACCCCTGAGAGGTGCTGAGCCAACCAGCACCCAGCAGGAGGGGCACAGCCATCTCCTTGGGGCAACCTGGGCAGCCCCCAGGGCTCGGGCACTGGGTTTGGCGCTCGCCACCCTCTGCTGGGCTGGGGGCACTCACTGAAGTCAGCGGGGTTGTGGTAAGTGGGGCAGTGGAGGCCGAGGCCCTTCAGGTAGGGGATGAGGTTGGTCACGACGCCCTTGAAGATGCACTGGCCCTGGCTCAGGATGTAGAGCTGCAAGAGGAAGCCGGGATGTGGCAGGTGCAGGACAGCCAGGGCATTGTCACCCGCTACTGGCCACCTCCCTGGCCCAGGGTGACACCGGCCACCCTTGCCAGACCCTGGCCACACAAGCCCCAGGACAAATGCCTGCAGCCCACCCCTCCTGGGTCCCGGGGCCGGAGGGACCCCATCCAAGGCCAAACCTTGTCGAACATCTCGAAGAGCTTGGCGCTGGGCTGGTGGATGGTGCAGATGATGGTGCGCCCACCCTGAGCCAGGGAGCGCATCAGGGACACCACCTGGAAGCAGGAGGCACTGTCCAGGCCGCTGTGGCCACGCAGGAGGAGAGAGAGACAGCAGAGAGAGAAGGGGAGAGTTGAGAGGGGGAGAAGAACATCCTAAAGATGCCCCCACTTGCCTCCTCTTGCTCAGATCCATGCAGAAGAGCACCATCCCCATGGGCACAGTCCCATCCCGTGCTCAGGGCACTGAGGGCACTGGCCAGGCCAGCAGGGGCAGCCCAGCTGGGCAGGCAGTGCTGGGAGCCCCTGTGGCCTCACCTGGTGGGCTCATCGAAGAACATGACGGGCGGGTTGTTGACCAGCTCCAGGGCGATGGCCAGGCGCTTGCGCTGCCCCCCCGACAGGGAGCTGGTGCGGGTGTAGGAGCACTCCAGCAGCCCCAGGGCCGTCAGGATCTCATTCACCTGTCACACAGCCAGGGTTTTTCATGGACTTTCATCCCAATCCTGCCACCCCCCTTCACCCTTGTCATCCCCCGCTCCCTTTGTCCCCATCTTGGGGAGAGCTGAGGGGGTCTGGGCCCACCCTCTCAGCCCTTACCAGCTCCTTCTTCACCTCCTGCTTCTCGCTCAGCTTCAGGTTAGCAGAGACCTGCAGGGAGAGGATGGCCAGGGAGACACGACTGTCAGACGTAGGGAACAGAACTGGCTGCACCGTGGCTCCAGCCCTGTCTGCTCCGCATGAAAGGAGCACAGACAGTAGGATTTCGTTCCCTTGGAAATGCCCGAGGCTGGTGTGAGCTCAGTGCCCACAAGGAGACAGCCCACAGGATGTCCCCATGGCTCACCATCATGGCCTCGAGCACGGTGAGGTGTGGCAGCAGCATGTCATCCTGCATGATGTAGCAGGACATCTTGCGGAAGGTGCGCAGGTCCCGTGGCCGCCCGTTCACCAGGATCTGCCCCTTCATGCCAGTCTCCCTGCAGGAATGAGGGAGGTGTGGGGGATGCAGCACAGCCCTGCACCCCCAGCCCCTCTGAACCCCCCCAGCCTCACCTGTAGCCAGCCAGGATGTTCATTAGTGTGGATTTCCCAGCTCCCGAGGGGCCCATGATCCCGATGAGCTCCCGCTGGCAGAACTTCCCTGACAGGCATTTCAGGAGAGTCTTGTACCCTGCAGGGAGACAGCAGCCGGGGTTTGGCCTCCCAGGGCAGTGGTGCTGCAGGGATTGCCATGCCATCCCAGCTCCTGGGGCACCTCAGGAGCTCCGTGTGCCATGCCAGGGGCTGTGTGTTCTCCATCAGCATCCCCTGGCACAGCAGCTGCCACCTCCAGCACGATCCCTGCCCCTGGTCCTCAGCTGATCCCACTGATTCCCAGGGCTGAAGAAGCTCCTGACCTGGATCACAGCAAAGAGCAGGGAAATCCCCGGGTCAGGTCACGGAGCTGCTAAGGGAGATTACCAGGCTGTGACACTGCTCCTGGGCATGTCTTCAGATGCTGATCCCCAAGGCCAGGGGACAGGGCCAGCGCGGAGCAGGGCAGCAGGGGGCAGGCAGAATTCCCGATCCGGCTGTTGCCTTCATTGGCATTCACGCTGTGGCACCCGGCAGCAGCCACTGCTAATCAGACCTGGAATTATCTCTGCTTTAAACGCGGCTGATTAGCATTTTCTGGCAGAAGGAACATGATGTGTCGGGAGTAAGGAACAAGCACAGCCTCAGGCTCTCAGGCGCTGCCCCTGAAATGGAGCCCTGGCTGGACAGGAATTGGTTTTGGGGGTGATAACCCCACGGACCGAGCCTGAGCATCCCTCTAATGGAATTGTATCCCCTCTGTGCCCCACGGGGACAGCCGCTGTGGGGCAAGGACAACAAACCCAAGCTGGGGCAAGCCCAGGGACAGAGCACTGACAGTCCCACTCGCTGGGGAGCCCTGGGCTTGTCCATCCCCAGGGAAGGTCACCCAGCCCCGCAGCCCCCCGTTCCTCCTCCGCAGCCCTCGGGGTCAGGAACCCCGCAGCAGGAGGGGGTCCCGCGGGCAGAGGGGCGGCCAGAGGAGGGGAGGGGGCTGCGCAGGGTGGCCAGGGACGAGCAGAGCAGGCAGTCCCCCCCCCCGGCAGCGCGCACGGCTCCGCACCGCGCATGCTGCTCACGTCGGCGCCACTGCAGCTTGCGCAGCGGTTACTCACGTTCATTGACTGCCAGTAACCTCCTGCTCGGCGCCGCGGGCCAGCCGGGGCTGGGGGCTGTGGCCAAAGCCACCGCGACCCCCGCCAGCCCCGCCAGCCCTGCCTGAACGGGGGGGAGAAAAGCGCCCCTCCCTCCGCCATCCCCGGGACCCCCGGACCCCTCGGCTTGCTCCCACCTGCCCCAGCCTTCCCCCCTCCCTCCCTGCAGGGCACTGGCCCGCTGGCAAGCAGCCGGCTCCCTCCTGGGTGCTAGAGCACAATCCGCCCTGGCCAGCCCGCGGCTGTGCCATGGATCCTTCTGGGATGCTTCCTCAGCATCCCGGAAAAACAGGGAGGCATCATCCCGGCGGATGTCAGGGCTGCTCCCAGGGTGTTTCGGCGCCTCGGTTTCCCGAGCTGCACAGCCTGGGGACGGGGCAGAGCCCCATCGGGCACTCCTGGCTGGCAGAGCCCCTCACCGAGCCCTGTGACCTCGGCGCCTGCTCGTCCCTGCCTGCCTTCAGCTTCTGCAGATCAGCTCACCCTCCATCTTATCGGGCTGCCTGATTGGCATCCCATTAACTGAGAGCGCTAATTAAAGCAGACTACCACCCACCAGCCGCCATCTGCCTCCCCTCTCCCCTCCCTGAGCTCTCGGCCAGAGTCGCACGCAGGGAAGGGGGCCACGGCCTGGGCTGCACAGGGAGAGGAAATCCCCCACAAACCACACCTTCTCCTTGCCAGGCTCGGAGCTGGGGCGTCCTGCTGCATCCCACACAGCCGTGATACCCCGAGCAGCAGTGCTGGGGAAACCCATCCCATCCATCCTACCCCGAACAGCAGTGCTGGGGAAACCCATCCCATCCATCCTACCCCAAGCAGCAGTGCTGGGGAAACCCATCCCACCCCATCCCACCCGTCCCGGCAGGTCCTTGGCCAGAGGTTTCCCTGGAATGCACTCTGCCTTCCCCTGGCACTGCCCGGCACAGGTGCAGGACATGAGCCTCGCCTCCTCCTCCCACGGGCGCCCAGAACAAACACCCAGGCACAGAGAGCCCCTGGCACTGGGACAGGGCAGGGTGAGGTCATGGCATGCGGAACGGGAATGGGGTGGCAGAGCCCTGCAGGCCCCTGCCCTGCCCGCCCTTCCCCGCCCGCCAGCTCCTACCTCTCTTCCTCCACCAGGACCCCTCCCGCACGGAGTAGGACAGGTCGATGAACTCGATGTTGACAGCCGAGCGCTTGGGGAGGTGGGAAAACCTCTGTGCCTCCGTGATGTGGTTCTCCACCTTCTTCAAGTGGGTGGTGAGCAGCGGGGCGTCGGGAGGGCCGGCGTGGCACACGGTGTCCTCCAGGGCGATGGAGACGCAGGCGGGATCCATGCCCTTCTCCGCCATCCTGCCGCTCTGTGGGGAGCGCACGGGGCTCGGCTCGCAGCGGGCTCCCTCTTCCCGGCACTGCAGGGAGCAGCCCGCAGCCAGTCCTGTCTCTGCTGCTCCTGCTGGCTCCAGGCCTCGCTGTCCCCCCCGCCCAGCCGGGGCCAGCACCCACAGCTGGCTGCGGGGATGGAGCCGGCCGAGCCTGCGCCCAGGGGCTCCGGGCGAGGAGCAGCAGGATTTTGTTCAGCTCCGCTGTCAATAATTCATGAACCTCCTGCGGCTTGGTCCCGCTCTGCTGCCAGAGCTGCTCAGCTCCCCCAGCCCCAGGGGGCCCTGCCCCGGTCCCATTTGTCCCGGTGGGTGCAGGAGGGGGGTTGGAAGAGCTGATGTCCTGCCCTATGCCTGGATGTCCCCAAGGACTCACCAGGAACCAGCCCTGCCCTTGGGGGGTTGTTTAGGTATGAAATCCTAAACAAGAAGATGATTCCAGCTGGTTTCTTGGACAAAGAACGCCATGCTCCTGGGGCAGAGCAGCCCCGGGCACATCAGACCCTCAGACAGTGCCTGGGGTCCCCCTGGGCTTGCTGGGTGAGCCTTAACAGAGCGGGGAGGGGGCCCTGCTGGTGCCATTCCTTCTCTGCCTTCCTCAGCTCATCGTTTCACCTTCCGGGCTCTTTCAGCACAGCCTGGGAGGCCAGGCCAGCACTGAGCTGGGGCCATGACGCCGATGCACCTGCCCCAGCCCTCCCCTGCCCGCAGTGCTCCACAGCCGGCTGCAGCGCGGCCGAGCTCCGCGCGTCTCCGCTCGCCTCGGGGATTGCGGTGCCGGGGGATGCTGAGCGAGCAGGGCGGGGAGCGCCGGTTCTCAGAGGCTGCCAGGGGATCGGGGATCCCCCCCGGCAGCAGGAAAAGGAGCTCGGGCTGTGCCGGAGCGGGCTGTGCCCTGCATCCATCATCATGCCTCCCAGCCTGGGGTCCCAGCGCCTCGCTAACCTACATTCAGGGGGCTGCGGGCAGCGGCTCGCTGCGGCTGCAGCGCACACGCACGGCCCCTGCGAGGGGCGCCGGGCGCCGGCAGCTGCGGGAGATCCCCCCAGCCCAGCCCAGCCCCTGCTGCAGGCAGACCCCGCTCAGGGCTGGAAGGAAGCCCGGGGAAGGAGGGCTGGGGATTCCCAGCCCGCGGGTCCCCTCCCAGCATCCGCGGGGTGCAGAAAAGGGGGGTTCGGGGGTGCTGGTGGGGGGCAGCGGGCTCGAAGCGCCCTCGGGCTCACCTTGACTCCTCCGGCTGGGCGTTCGCGGAGCGCTAAATCCCGCAAGCGGCTCTCCGCGGCTTAGCCCAGCCCCGAGGCGCGGGGTGGGGACGAGAAGGCTTTGCCCGAGGATGCTCTTCCTTCATCCCCTCTCCCCGCCGGCCCCCTCCATCCCCAGCCCCCCCGGCCCCGGAGAGGCTCTCGGCTCTCCCGCAGGCTCACCTGGCAGGGTGCGGGGCGGCGGCTCCGCTCCCGCAGCGCCCCCGCCTCGCCTCCTCCGCAGACAAAGGGGCGATGCCCGGGGGGCCCGGCCGGGCTCGGTTCGGCTCGGTTCCGCTCGGTTCGGCGCGGCTGCGGTGCTCAGCGGCGGGAGCCGGGCTGGGCGCTGCCCCCGCGGGTGCCCGGCCCGGGTCTCCTCCCCATCCCTCCGCGGGGCTGGGTGGGCAGGGCGGGCGGGGGGCGCTCCGGCCGCAGCCCCGCAGTGGCTCGCAGGAACCCCGCAGTGGCTAGCGGTAGCCCCGCAGTGGCCGGCAGCCCCCCGGGCCGGGCTGCTCGGGGGGGGGCCCTCTCCGCCAGCCCCGTGGCCGGTGCTGCCGGGCGGGGAGCGGGATGGGCGGCAGGATGGATGGATGGGCTGCCCGGGCGGGCAGCGCTGCCAGGCAGCGAAAAATCCTCTTAAAGGGACCGGCTCTATTTCCTCTCGCTGCCTGCCAGCAGGCCTGAGCATCCCTGAGCGCACGCCCGGGCTTTGCCAGCCCTGCCTCCGCACCCCCTGCACCCCAGGGCCGGCTCTGGGACACAGCCCCCACACTGCCCCCTCAGCCAAACCCCCCGAGGGAGCCCAACACACCCTAAAGCTGCTCCTGCCCAGCTCAGCCCTGCACAGAGCCCTGTGCAGACCCCCCCGGCGCGGGCACAGCGTGCAGCCAGGGCTGCTGTGGTTTGGGACAGCCAGCGGGGTGACAGCTGGTCACAAAGGGCCGTGGCAGGGGGGGGTCCCTCCGGGGTTTTACCCCCAGCACTCCCTCCCTGGTGCAGCTCGTCCTGCAGCTCCCCAGCAGCACGCCTGGTTCCCTCCTCGCTGTTACTCACACCTCTCTCCCACCACAGCACTTAAACACCAGAGACATATGGAAATGAGTGGCACCCAGCAAGAGTATTAATTAAAAAACCATCTGTTGATGCCAAGGAGAGCTTTCCCCACCCCCTGGCAGCTCAGGGCTGGGACAGATCTCAGGGCAGGATCCAGGCAGAGGAGAGCAGGGAGGGCACAAGGAGTTATCCATGGAGCCAAGCCCCTCATGGAGGTCTTAAGTCATCTTGTCCTGGAGCAAAGGCAAGTGGGACTCAGCCAGCTCTCTCTGCACCCAGCCCTGGGGCACTCCCCATGTGCAGGTCCCAGCCCAGGCCTGCTCTGGCAGTGCCACATTCCCTGCAGGGAATGGCCTGGGAGTGACCTCATGGATGCTAAACCCCTTTCTGCTCAGCTGGACCCAAGCTGGTGGCCATGGAGCACCCAGCAGCTGCTGGGGAGTCATTTCAAGGTGGGAGGAAGCAAAGATGGAGCTCAGTGCCATGGGGACATCCACATCCCTCTAATCCCCCAGCTGGGACCTTCCTAAAGTGGCCTTGTCCATAGCTGTGTCCCCGTGGGGGCTCACTTGCTCAGGACAGTGGCAGAGGGAGCCTGTCCTGGTTCTGTCATCTGTGCTCTGCAGGGACAGAGCAGGCAGCAGAACCTCTCTGCATGACAGGAAAACCTGTGGGATTCCCTGCAAATATATTTTTAATGACCCGTGGCTGGTCCTCCAGGACCCTCAGCTGTGCCACCACTTGTTGCTCTAGGACACGAAACAACACGACGTAGACACGCTGTTGTTTTCCAGGGAAAAAAGGGAAGTTTATTTTCTGACTCCAACATTTATAGATTTCTAAAGGTGGCAGTGGATTTGAGGGTGAAAGTGCCACCTCTCCAAACGTAGACAAACTAACAGTTTATTAAATTTCTCCTCCTCCACAAAAGAATACAAAACAATAAGTTGTTTACAGAAAGTGTGTGAGAAAGTTTGCTATAAGAATGCAAACATCAGAAGGCTTAGAAAACCTTAAAAAATCAAAGTGACAATCACTTGTGCCCCAGACCACCCTCTCCTTCCCTGGGGGAATAAAACTGCTTCCATGGCTGCTTTGAGGAGCCAGAGATGTCCTCAAGGGGCACAAAGCTGGAGTCACATCTCCCCCTTTGTGGGCCCAAGCTGCTGGGAGGAGAAGCCCCTGTGGAAAGGGATTCTCAGGGCAGGACCACAGAGCCCCTGGCAGGAGCAGGACCAGCAGCCAGTAGGAAAGATTTTCCACCTGAGAGATGAGATTTCCCCGCTCTGCAGTCCCAGGGAGGCTGCAGGGCAGTTTGATTCCTCAGCAGTGGGTGCTGCAGCCCTGGCCAGGCTGCTCTGTCCCTGCCATGGGGACAGGAGCAGATGCCACACTCCTGCTGGCCTCAGCGAGCTCAGGGGCAGCTCCACCTCCCAGCTCAGGGCCTGGAATTCCCTGACACGGAGAAATCACAACCTGCAGCACTGAAGGACAGGTATTTTACACCAGGCACAGGTGCTGCCTCCCTCCTAACAGGGGCTCTGAGCCTCCTCGGGGAAGCAGCTGGGAATTGGGTGCTCACAGCCCTGTCCCCAAGCCCTGCTGCAGGAAACACTCTCAGATCCCAGCAGCTGCTGCCCCCAGAGCATCCCCTGGCCCTGGGGAGTCTGGGATGAGCCACCCTGCAAGAGTGAGTGCAGAACATCTCAGAGGGCAGCCTCGGGGCTGCCGGAGCTGATGGAAGGAGCACAGCAGCGAAGGGAAGCAGAGCCGGGGTGGGAGCCTCCCTCAGCACGGGGCCAGCGGCCACAGCCCCGGCTGGCCCAGCTCTACCTGGAAGAACCTGAGGAGAGCAAAGAGAGCGGATTTTGAGCTGTTTGCAGCTCCCATCTCCCAGTGCCAGCCTTCCCCTCGGACAGTGACCCGCGGCCGGGCAGTGCCACCAGCGGGACCCACCGCAGGGCACGTGGCAGTCGCACTCGCAGATGTCACAGCGCTGGAACCAGCGGGGCCAGCCCGACAGCTTGGTGACACAGGCTGAGACCTGGATGCAGCCGCGGCTGAGAGCGGCTCCCGGGTGCGCGGGGCTGCCGCAGGACGAGGAGCACTCGCCGGTGAGGTCCCGCTCGCTGATCTCGATGCGGCCCCGCAGGCAGATCCCTGCAGGGGCAGAGCCCATCACGGGGGGCTCACCCGCAGCAAGGAGGGCTTGGGGACGCGCCTGCAGCCAGCCGGGCTACTCACGGAGGCAGGAGGGCTTGGGGGTCCACTGGCCATCGGACTGGCAGGCGCTGGCGGGGTCCCCCAGCAGCAGGAAGCCGGGCCGGCAGCTGTAGCGCACCACGGAGCCCACCCACCAATCGTTCCCGTGCACCACCGAGTTAAAATCCGCCTCGGGCCGCCCGCAGTTCACTGCAGACAGGGATGCAGCCGGGGCTGGCAGCCTGGGCAGGCTGCTGGCCACGGGGACAGCGCAGGGGTCACCGGACAAGGCAGTGGGTGCCCCGGGCTGTGTCCCCGCGCGGCCCAGGCTGCTGGAGGCGCTGACGCTTTGTGTGGCACAAAGCCCTGCAGCATCCCCAGGGATCCCCGGCTTCCCCCGGGTTTTACCTCTGCAGAAGGACTTGTAGCCCAGCCAGCAGCAGCTGCCGTTCCCACACTGGCTCCTCTTCAGCTCCTTGTGCCTCCCCCTGCAGCCCCCCACGCAGATGGGCGCCGTGCCCGACCAGTACGTGTCCAGCTCTCCTGGGGCCACCGGGGACAGCGACACCATTGCCAGAGCTTGCCCAGCCCTCAGAGCCCCGCAGGGCGGTGCTGGAGCCCGCAAACACCCATCCCAGCCCATCTCATTCCATCCCATCCCAGCCCATCCCATTCTATCCCAGCCCAGCCAAGCCCAGCCCTGCTGTGAGCGCAGCCACTCAGCCCTCAGCTCCCACGTCCCCTGTGCCCAGCCTTGGTCTTGCTCCTTACTGGGCAGGACTGGTGCCAGCTCTGGGACACCCCACAAACCCCCTCATCCCCCAAGCCCCCTGTTACCTTCTGGCTCCTGGCAGGAGGTGAGCGTGGCCAGCATGGCGAGGAAGAGGAGGCCCAGTGCCATCATCTGCCCTCCTCCCCTCACCTCTCCAGCCCCAGAGCCCTCTCTGCTCGCCCAGGAGAAAGTGAACTTGGTTTGCACACACCCCAGGCCCGGGGATGCTGCAGGACACGGGGGAAGGGAGGAGACATTCCCTCTAATGCCAATCCTCTCCCCAGCAGCTAATCTCCGGCAGATTACCCTGCCTGGAGCCGGGGTTTAAAGGGACACTCCCAGCAGCCAGCCCCGAAGCTGCAGCAGCAGCAGAGCTGTGCCTGTGGAGCACAGAGGCCAGGCTGGAAATGCTGCGAATGCAAACCTGGCACGGGGCCCTTCTCTCGAAGGCAGCTCAGCCCAGCTGTGCCAAGGCCCGGGGCCAGGCAGGGATGGGAAGGCTGGGCAAGGCAGGGATGCTCTGCCTGCAGCAGTGTGTGCTCTCAGGGACAGCTCCTGTCCCTCCCCAGAGGTGCTGGGATCAAGGGTTTTCCCCAACACCCCGGAATTCCAGCAGCTTTTGCTCAGCTGCTTGAGACGGAGCAATGGGGGAAAGTCAGTGCCCAGCCAAGAGCAGCAAGGTGCCTCCCTGTGTCTCCCTGGGCACATCACCTCCACACACAGGGCAGGGAGGGTCTAAACAGCACTCCAGGGACCCCAAATTCACTGTCCTCATCCAGCCACCCAACAAAGGATGAGCTGGCTCTGCTCACAAGCCCAGGCTGCTCCCTGTATTCAAACAAGGCCTGAGCAGGCAGCAGACAGCCCTGGGGGAGGCAGCAGAACTCAGCCCCACGGCAGGAACACGAGTGCCAGAGCTAAACCCGGCCTTCCAGTGCCACCTCTGGGGAGCAGCACGCTCCAGTGCCAGCTGCACAGCGCCAGGAGAGCCTGGCAGCTCCTCAGTGCCCACCTCCCACCCTGCACCATCCCAGTGCCATCCTCCCAGCACAGCACGGCTGGCAGGGGCAGGGCTGAGCAGAAAAACACCAGACACTGCTAGGCCTGGCAGCCTGATGTTTGTCTTGCCAAAGTACACTTTGCCCAACCAGGAGCCCAAACCCCAATGTGGGGAGGACACCCAGGGGATGCCAAAAGCAGCAAGAAGCTCCCAATGTCCCAGTGCTGCACTGGCCTGCAAGGGACAGCAGCTCCAGCACTGTCCTCCCACAGACAAGTGCTGGTTATGGGATCAGGGAGGCAAACACCACCAGCAGCAGCAGGTGAGACAGGAAATGTGTGCAGGAAGTGCTGATGAAGGCATGATACCCCCTGGAAAAGGCATGGATGGGGCAGGACAGGCCTGCCAAGGGCCACACGTGTTCCCAGGGAAGAGGCTTCAGCACCAGTGTGCTCCACACACCATCCTGCCCGGGGAACAGGCTCAGAAGGGCACAGCTGGTGACCATTCCACCCTGCCAGGCCTAGGCCAAACCTCCCAGAAGGGTGGGAGAAGCTTGACAGGCTTCAATCCCCAAAAGGAGGAGGCAGACAGCTCCTTCCAGCTCAGACCACTTGATTCACACCTGGGGGATGTGTCCCTCCCCTCTCCCCACGCTGACCAGAACCCGCAGCCAGCCAGGCTGGGCTGAAGACAAGCCCAGCCCTGTCCCCAAGCATTCCTCCAGCAGCACATCCCCAGGAGGCTGAAGCTCTCCTGCTGCAGAGGGGCAGCCCCTCACAGGATCTGGATGCCCAGCTCCTCAGCTGTTTTCTGCAGCCTGTCCATGACGTTCTCCTCCAGCTCCGGGGCTGCTGTGGCCTGCTGCTCCGAGGCCGTGCTGGCCAGCACGTAATAGACAGTCTCACTCTGGCCCTGCTCGTTGGTCCTGTTCACCACACGGATGATGGGGCTGCTGGTGCTGCTGGCTCCTTGCTCTGAGGAGGAGGAAGAGGAGGAGGAAGCTCCTGGGATGGGGCACGGCCGTGCTGGCTCAGGGCTGGGAGCAGAGCACAAGGCTGGGGGCACAGGCAGCTCTGATGTGCTGTTCTCTGCTGGGGCAGGGTTTGCTGGAGGCTCCAGAAGGATGCCCTGCAGGTTGCCTTCGCCCTCGGGCAGCACCAGGCACTCGCTGGAGCCATCCAGAGCCTCCCCACGCTTCTCCCTGTCCTTGAGCAGCTGCTCTGTGAGCTCCACGCTCTCGTAGCGCACCAGCTGCAGCCTCATGTAGCCATCCTCGTGCTCCCTGTACCTGGGCACAGACAGGAGGGGTCAGCCAGGCACACTCCCCTTCCAGGAGATGGGCAACAGCCAAGCTTTCAGTCCCTGTGCTGCACAGATGGTGTTTCAGCCTCTACTCCCAAAGGCACACCCATGTGGCAGATTCTGAGCTCTGTGCCAGGCTCAATCCCTCCCCAGCCCATCTCCTTCCACCACTCTGCTGCACTGGGAGCATTTCAAGTCCATCCTCTTCCCCTCCCAGCTTTCAGGCTCTGGAAACCCTCTGGAGCTTCCTACAGGGTGTGCAGTAGAGGATTCTGTCCCAAGACTGATCTCTCTAGAGGAGAACACCTGGACCTGGTCCCTGCCAAGCTCAGAAGTGTCCCACCAGAGGCAGCAGTGATGGCACCACTGCCCTGGAGCTGCCAGCCAGCACTGCTCAGATCCCACAGAACATTCACTGCCCAGTGCCTCCCAGCCACTGGGAAAAGGGTCTTGAACACATTTACAGACACCAGAGCCCAGGCACTGCCAGCACAGCGCAGGGTGCACTGGAGAGGAGGCACTGAGGAGCTAAAGGTGAGCAGTACCTGAAGCGAGGATGTCCCGAGGGCCATTTGAACTGGTGCTTCTTCCTGAGGTGGACAGTGAGGTTGTTCCCCCGTGTGAAGCACTTGTCACACACGTGGCACTTGTACCGGGGCTCGGAGTCACCCTGAGGGACACAGAGAGTGACGTCAGCACTCCACCGGCCCACACGTGCAGGGAAGGAGACAGAAACTTCTCTGAGAAGACTGACACGGGGCATCACGAGCAATGCAAGTTCCCACCTCGTGGACCTTCCTGTAGTGCAGTTTGATGGAGCAGAGGGAGCGTGCAGAGAAGCTGCAGGCCTCGAACTCGCAGCGATACGCCGGCTCCTTGCTGTGAGTGTCCAGGTGCTTCCGCAGGTCAATGAGGTTCTTGCAGCTGGAAGCACAATGTGAGGGAACAGAGCTGCAGCACACACACACACACACACACACAGAGGCCTCTGGGAGGTCTGGGGACAGGTCCTCACCTGTAGTCACAGTAGTCACACTTGAAGGGGCGCTCCTCGCTGTGCCGGAAGCGGATGTGGTTGCGCAGCGAGGAGGGCAGCGGGCAGGTCATGTCACACAGGGGGCACTTGTAGTGGTTCACTGGGCCAAAAACGGGGAGAAATGTCACCCCAGAGCAGGGCAGAGCACGCAGCCCAGGGGGCTGAGCTGGCAGCAGGGCCCTTCACTCACCGTGGTTCCTCATGTGGTCGCGGAGCAGCCTCTCGGTGGCGAACCTCTTGGAGCAGTGGGAGCACTGAAACCTCTGCTCTGCACCAGGGGGCAGGGAGGGCACAGGAGAGACCAGGGCAGGGAGAACAGCACAGAGAGCAGTGAGGAGAGGTGGTCCAGGGGGCTGGAAACGCTGGTGTGCAGCCCTGGGTCCCCACAGGAGGAACAGCCTCCATCCTGCCTCTGCCAGGAGACACTTCCCAGGGGACACGGCCTCAAGCTGGGCCAGGGGAGGTGCAGCTGGGACTTCAGGAGGAATTTCTTCATGGAAAGGATGGTCAGATGCTGGAAGGGGCTGCACAGGGAGGTGGGAGAGTCCCTACCCCTGCTCAGGACATGGCTGGCTGACAAGGTGAGGATCACTCATGGGCTGGACTCAATCTCAGAGGTCTTTTCCACTCTAAACGATTCTGGAATTCTGCAGCTGCCATCACTCAGCAGACAATCCAGGCTGTTCCAAGCACACCCCACCCTTGGCTCACAGGGCACAGGGACCTCCAGCCACCCCAACATCCCAGCCCAGCAGCCCCCAGCCCCTCCCTGCCCCAGGCCTTACGCTCCAGGGCGGTCTGGCGGCGGATGTGGTCGAAGAACTTGGTGTTGTTGGCAAACATCCCCCCACAGGTGGGACAGGCCACCACCTTCTCCTGCGTGTGGCTGCGCAGGTGCTCCCGCAGCTTGCAGCGGCCCTTGAAGCTGCAGTTGCAGTCTGGGGAGGGAACAGCACAGCTCAGAGACCTCCCAAGGGACACAGTCTACTGAATAGCAGCTTCCTCGTCTTGTTTTGGCCAGCAAGGCTCCAAAATCCCCAGAGAGCAGGGTGAGATCAGCACGGTGATATTGTAAAATCACCAGTGAGGTACTGGTTCTGCCACAGTACAACCAGTGTGAGCCCCCCAAGCAGTTGGGGCAATTGCACAAACACGGGAAATTAATGAAAAAAATCAAAATCAAACTAAATCAACCTTTTCTCCAAGGTACTGATTACACAGAAATAGGAAGTTCTGTCTGAGCACTCAACTGAGTAAACTTCTGCAGGAATATTTCACTGTCAAAACCATGAAATTTGAAAACCTCTTTTTGAAGGCTAAAGGGCTCTCTGAAACCTGTTCCCATGTTTGCCACCCAGCCCAAAGCTCTCAGGAGAAGCCCTGCAGGCTCCCACAAACCTTTCCAGCCACAGAGCAGCACGTGGTTCTCCTTCCCTGCTGCCTTGTACTCGGAGCAGAAGCTGTGATCCTCCACGTGCCGGTAGAACCA